ATATTATTGCAATTTTTCAAATTCACAGTGTTAATAATTTTTCGATTTTACAGTTTTTTGTAATTATGTCATTTGTTGATTTTTGGTTTTTATATTTTCACAATTTTTCAATTTCTTAATTGTTCGGTTTTTAATTAATCAGTTTTGTCATCCTAAATTTTAGAATTCTTCGTTTTCAAAATTTTTCGTTTTTTCAATTATCCAATTTTTAATTTTCAAATTATTTGATTTTTAATTTTTCGGGAATTCGATTTTCAATTTTTCAAATTCTAAGTTTTTGGATTTTATAATTTCGCAATTTTTCGAATATTCAATTTTGTAATTTTTCTACATTACAATTATGTTTCAAATTTTGAATTTTAAAATTATGGTTCTATTTTTAATTTTATATTTATACAATTTTCCAGTTTTACAATTTCCAATTTTATAATTTTTGTATTTTTCAGTTTTCTATTTTTACAGTTTTTCGATTTTGCATTTATATTGTATGTTTCGATGATAAAGTAGACATTGTAATAAGTCAATTTTTCTATTTTCAATTTTATAATTCTTCGTTATAAAAATTTTTCGGTTTTTCAATTATTAAATCTTTGATTTTTCAATTTTTTTCATGATTAATTTTTCAAAATTTCGCGGTTTTTAGATCTTTAAATTTTGTAACTTTTCTATTTTACAATTGTCTGATTTTTTAGTTTTTCGATTTTAAAATTGTTCGATTTCGAATTTTATGTTATTGCAAATTTTTCAGATTTACAGTTTAATTATAATTTTTCGATTTATTTTACAATGATCCAATTTTGCAATTTTGCCATTTTTTGATTTTTGGGTTTTATATTTTTACAATTTCTCAATTGTTCGATTTCGGAAGTTTTAGGTTTTTGAATTTTATAATTTAACAATTTTTTTATTTTTAAGTTTTATAATTTTTCTATTTCACAATTGTCTGATTTTTCAGTTTATCGATTTAAAGACTGTACGATTTTCAATTTTATATTATTGCAAATTTTTCAGATTTACAGATTAATAATTTTTCGATTTTAAAATTATCCAATTTTTCAATTTTGTAATTTTGCCATTTTTTAAATTTTGGGTTTTATATTTTTAAAAAATTTTCATTTTCTCAATTGTTATGTTTTTAATGAATCAATTTTTTAATTCTCAATTTTAGAATTCTTCGTTTTCCAAATTTTGTTTTTTTTTTCGATTATGCAATTTTTGATTTGTCAATACGAATTTCATTGTCTCAATTTTACAATTATTTGATTTTTAATTTTTTCAAGTTTTGACTTCGAATTTTATAATTTTGCAATTTTTCAAATTTTCGATTTTCTAACTTTTCTATAATACAATTACATTTCAAATTTTGGGTTTTAGAATTATGATTCTCTTTTCAATTTTATATTTATGCAATTTTTCAGGTTTAGAATTTCTAATTTTGTAATTTTGGTATTTTTCTGTTATATATTTTAACAGTTTCTCGATTTCCCATTTATATTTTATTTTTTGATGATAAACTGGACATTATAATAAGTCAATTTTTCAATTATGAAATCTTTGATTTTCCAATATTTTTCTTGATTAATTTTTCAAAATTTCGCATTTTCTGGTTTTATAAATTTTATAACTTTTCTATTTTACAATTGTAAGAAATTTTTCAGATTTACAGTTTAATAATTTTTCGATTTTACAATTATTCAAGTTTTCAATTTTGTAATTCTGCGATTTTTTTTATTTTTGGAATTTATATTTTTGCAATTTTTCAGTTTCTCAATTATTTGGTTTTTAATGAATCAATTTTTTAATTCTCATTTTTAGAACTTTGTTTTCAAAAATTTTCATTTTTCAATTCTTCAATTTTTGATTTGTAAATGAAACGAATTTCATTGTTTCAATTTTCCCATTATTTGATTTTTAATTTTTCAAAAATTCGATTTTCAATTTTTCAAGTTTAAAGTTTTTAAATTTTATAATTTCACAATTTTTCGATTTTTTAATTTTATAATTTTTCTATTTTACAATTAAATATATTTCAACTTTAGGATATTACAATAATTGTTCTATTTGCAATTTTATATTTACGCAATTTTTAAGTTTGCGATTTCTAATTTCACAATTTTTGTATTTTTTTGTTTTATTTTTTTACAGTTTTTTTATCTCCCATTTATATTCCATTTTTTGATGATAAACCAGAAATAATAAGTCGATTTTTCAATTTTATAATTCTTCGTTTTTAAAATTTTTCGGTTTTTCAATTATTAAATCCTTGACTTTCCAATTTTTTTGATTATAATTTTGTTTAATTTTCCAGTTTTTTAATTTTTAAATTTTGTAATTGTTCTATTTTACAACTGTCTGGTTTTTCAGTTTTTCGATTTTAAAATAATTGTTCGATTTTCAATTTTATAATTTTACAATTTTTTGATTTTTTAATTTTGTAATTTTTCTATTTTACAATTATATTTCAACTTTAGGATTTTACAATAATTATTCTATTTGCAATTTTATATTTATGCAATTTTTTAGTTTTACGATGTCTAATTTTACGATTTTTTTATTTTTCTGTTACATTTTTTTACAATTTTTCGATCTACCATTTATATTCCATTTTTTGATAATAAACCAGACATTATAATAAGTCAATTTTTCAATTTTCAATTTTATAATTCTTCGTTTTTAAAATTTTTCGGTTTTTCAATTATGAACTATTCGATTTTCCAATTTTTTTCATTAATAATTTTTAAAAATTTCGCACTTTTTAGATTTTCAAATTCTGTTTTTTTTCCATTCTACAATTGACTCTTTTTTCAGTTTATCTATTTTAAAATTGTTCGATTTTCAGTTGTATATTATTGCAAATTTTTCAGATTTACAGTTTAATAATTTTTCGTTTTCACAATTATACAATTTTTCAACTTTTGTAACTTTGCCATTTTTTGATTTTTGCGTTTTATATTTTTTACAATTTTTCAATTCATCAATTGTTCGTTTTCAAAAATTCGATTTTCGATTTTTCAAGTTTTAAGTTTTTGAATTTTATAATTTTTCGATTTTACAATTATCCAACTTTCCAATTTTGTAATTTTGCAATTTTTTTGATTTTTCAGTTTTATATTTTAGCATTTTTTGGATTTCTCAATTATGGCAAGAATCAATTTTCAATTTTTGATTTTTAATTTTAGATTTTCTCATTTTATCGTTCTCCAAGTTTTTAACCAATCCGAGTTTCCAAATTTAAAAATTTTTCAACTTCTTGGTCGTAGGCAAATGATTTATCATAAATAAAAATTCGCAAAATCAAATTTTATAGTTTTTCGAAAAACTGGATTTGTTCCACGGTACTTCATTTTTGAGATTACTACAGCTCAAAGATAATTTTATTGGCATAGATGGTATTAGATAAATACTTGCGTGTAATGTAGCATAAGTGCGTGTTATATTGCAGATACGATCTACTATCAATTAAACTGATCTTTTATCAAATAGGGTCAATAATACAAAAAATAAATCAATGCATGGATGCCAAACAGATATAAACAGAAGCTTGTTGAGGTATTAAGATATTGGAGAAATATTTAATTGTAAAGTACAATATTTTTTTTTTATCCCGGCGCCTCCACCATTTTTCTTCAACAATGAAACTTCGTAGCGAGGCGAATCTTATAAGAAATTTTTTCAGGACCATCAATCCGAACTTATTTTCGACATATTCTTTTTGTTAGGTACATGATTTTACACAGAAATTCTTAGTGCACGCATTTTAAAATTAAAATCAAGTATTTCGTCAATCGTGACGCGTTTAACAAAGTCTTTTAACAACTTTACCCAAAATTATTCGTGACTGGTTTAACTTTCAGCTTATCTCTCGCTGGATATAATGTGCTCACATCGGCACCACACACCACCAAATAACAAAAGCGGTAAATTCGGTTTTGTGTTTGGCTTTGATTTAAGTAGATCCGTGGATAAAGTTTTCACCAACTATTTTCCAACAGAACGTAACAATGATTCACGCCAAGTTCACCTTCTCGCAACCCACACTGCAACACTGCGAAACTTTAAAAATACCCATTCAACCCAATGAGCCTTAAACAAATTAAACTCGAATAGATTAAGTCTGCAACTCCATTCTGCTATAATGTAATCACTGGTGTTAATTGTGGTGCACAGCGTTCCTCTCGCGTCTAGAATTTTGCGAGTTTCTCCGGAGTTATGGTTGTCGCTTGTGACTTATGTTCCTCGTCGACTACACCCATAACCTTATCTTGTACAAAAGCGAGAAGTCAACACTGAATTATTGAATCTACTTCCAGGAGACTAGGCGGATAAAGCTAAATCCCATGTGATTGATACTCTTATGATGTTTATTCAATACGCTCTCACATACACTCTTTGTTGCCGGATGAAATTCATTTACTTTTCCATCAAGCTCCGGCAACGCAGCTTTCGCTCATCCTTTCGAGCGGAGCTTCACGTGTTCAACATCGCCCGGTCTAAGCTTTTCAGTCGGCGAGCTTCATTAGCGCGAAAATAGTTGTGCCGCTTTAAAATTTCGGAGCGCCTTCGCGAATCGGTATTACGCGTAATAAAAATTTGACCCGAAAAGTCGGAACATTTTTAATTAAACTAAAACAGTTTCCGGGAAGTTTTACGACGAAAAAGTCCAACTTTCCGAGCTTTGGATTATTGGAAGAGCGCTATATAAGTGAAAAAGAACTGTTTTTATGTGTACGGCTGCAGCATCTCTCATGGCATTAATAATAAGCAGATAAATTCGCTTCTTTCTAGAGAATGAGGAGTGCGCTTTCTTGCTGAACATCGTTCGGTGAAAAGCGACCTGCAGCTGTGCACTCAATGCAAGGAAAACGATGCGCCGGTTTTTCAGCGGAATCCTTAAATGTATTACACTGCGGTACTTACCTTTATGGATAAGCGAGCCGAAAAATGAGTTTTATGGAGCGACTTTCGGGATATCGAAAGGATGAAACGTGGAAGGGTATTTATCGTGTTTTATTCAAGTTGGTCCTTTTTTAGAACAGAGCGGTAATGAATGCATATGTAGATGTGGACGGCCACTAGGATAAGGAGGAGATAGGCGCCGAAATAGCCGCTGACTGATTCGTAAATTATGAATATAATTACTCCGACGAAGGCTATCGTTCCAAAAATTATATACCCGTTGAATATTTTTCGGTTTCTCTGGAATAAGCAATGTTGTTAAAATTGTTACAGCGGAAGGTGGAAAACGTACCGTGAGTACGCTAAGCAGTAAAATGACTCCAGTTGCTATCAAAAACGGGGACATTATCATGTACGGAGTCGGTCTAATCGAAATAAGTGACACCGGAGGTTCACTGTCATGTGTATGCTGTATTCCTAGACCTAGCAAATAACCCCCAAGACCCTGAAGCAGGATTAGGTTGGAGTTTCTACATTATGTATACTCACTATGTATATCAAGGCCATAAGAGATATCACTGGTTTATCCCAGTCGGGATTTTGACACAGTGCGCCAAACATACTTGTCAGAATTAATGAAAAGTGGTTGTCACTTGTGTCAACAGGGTGACCCGATTTTAGCTAAATTTAAGAGCACTATTAATTTTATCACGTCGATCTCAATTTTGAGAGGACAACATCGAAAAAGTATTTTGTTGTGAAATACAATGTACATTGGGTTTATATCCCGGCGCCTCCACCATTTTTAGTTAAAAATAAATTTAAAACAGGTCCAATGGGTTCGAAAAGGCTTTACTCTTCTTGAAAATTTTCTCAGAATTACGAATTTTTGCTTATTGTTGCTCTATCTCTTCGAATAACGAAGACGAATACATCGTGTACATCATTCGAAAAACACTATTATTTCGCGTACAAGTTTCTTAAACATTCATCATGTAAATGTTTTTAAAAATTTGTAATATCCAGGCGCCTACAATATTTTCGCAAAATTTAAAAAATTCCAAATTTTACATATTTTTTTATATTTTACTTTTTTTTAACATACAGAGTCTTCTTTTCACAATAAGAAACTTCAAACGTGTTCAAAATGGTAAATCTTTGCAATTTCTGGATAATAACTTTTCGATTTATCAATTATGGAATTTTCATTTTTCATTTTCGATTTTTCAGCTTTGGAATGTTTCCATTTTGGGATATCTTAATTTTTAGTTATCTCAATTTTCCAATTTTTGGATTTTTTAGATTCCCGATTTTTAGTTTTTTGACATTTAAATTTCGCACTGTTTTTCAATTTTTTCACTTTGTAGTTCTTCGATTTTTCAACTTTTAGATATTTTACTTTATTTTTTTTTTAATTATTTCTATATTTTTACTTTTTCATTTTTCGATTTTTCAGTTTCTCGATATTTAATTGTTCCATTTTTCAACTTCGAAATTTTTAAATTTTTGATATTCAAATAATTCTTCAATTTTCAGATAATTTAATTTTTTTTTTTAATTTTTCACTTCCTTAATTTACAATTTTTCGATTTTTCACATTCTCTAGATTTAATTTTTGGATTTTTAAGTTTTTTATTTTTTCGATATTTCAATCTTGGAATGTTTAAATTTTTCAACTTTCCAAATTTTCATTTCAATTTTTTGCTTTGCAATTTTTCGATTTATGAATTTCTAGAAAATTTCTCATTTTATCAATTTTTCAATTCCTCGATTCTTAATATTTCCATCTGTAGTTTTTCGATCTTACAATTTTTCTTTCCTTTAATTTTCAGCGGCCCAGTTTTTAATTTTTCGATTTTTAAATTTTTGTATTTGAAAAGTTTCGATTTTTCAGTTCCTCAATTTTTTTCACTTTCTCTAAATTTCATTTTTGGACATTCCAGTTTTGGAATTTTTTAATTTTTCAGTATTTCAACCTTGGAATTTTCCAGTTTTTCTACTTTCCAAATTTTCATTTCAGGTTTTCGCTTTGCAATTTTTCGATTTTTGAATTTTTAGAAATATCTATTTTTTTCAATCTTCCATTTCCTCGATTCTTAATCTTTCCATGTGTAGTTTTTCGATCTTACAATTTTTGTTTCCTTTAATTTTCTATTTGTCAATGGCCCATTTTTTAATTTCCCTAGGTATATGGAAATTTTCGAATTTTTCGATTTTTGCATTTCAGTTTTTCGATTTTAAAATTTTTATATTTTAAATTTTTCGATTATTCAGTTTTTCGAGATTTAAAGTTTCCATTTTTCAATTTTCAGAAAATTTAATTTTTTATTTTAAAATTTTTCACTTCTACATTTTTTAATTTTTAGATTTTTCACTTTCTCTAAATTTCATTTTTTGATATTCCAGCTTTGGAATTTTTTAATTTTCCAATATTTCAACCTCATAATTTTCCAGTTTATCAACTTTCCAAATTTTCATTTCAGATTTTCGCTTTGCAATTTTTCGAATTTTAAATTTTTAGAAATTTCTCGTTTTTTTAATATTTCAATTCCTCCTTTCTTAATTTTTCTATTTGCAGTTTTTCGATCTTGCAATTTTTCTTTCTATTAATTTTCGATTTTTCGATTTTTGCATTTCAATTTTTCGATTTCTAAATTTTTATATTTTAAATTTTTCGATTTTTCAGTTTATCGAGGTTTAAATGTTCCACTGTTCAACTTCGAAATTTTTAAATTTTTGATATTCAACCTTTGAATTCTTCAATTTTCAGGAAATTGAATGTTTTATTTTTGAATTTTTCACTTCCTCAATTTTTAATTTTTCGATTTTTCACTTTCACGAAATTTCATTTTTGGATATTCTAGCTTTGGAATTTTTTAATGATTCAATATTTCAACCTCGGAATTTTCCAGTTTTTCTACTTTCCAAATTTTCATTTCAATTTTTCACTTTGCAATTTTTCGATTTTTAAATTTTTAGAAATTTCTCATTTTTTCTATTTTTCAATTGCTCGTTTCTTAATTTTCCTATTTGCAGTTTTTCGATGTTACAATTTTTCTTTCTTTTAATTTTCGATTTTTCAATGGCTCGATTTTTATTTTTCGATACGGAAATTTTCCGATTTTTCGACCTTTGCATTTCAATTTTTCGATTTTTAAATTTTTATATTTTAAATGTTTCGATTTTTCAGTTTCTCTAGATTTAAATTTTCCATTTTTCAACTTCGAAATTTTAAAATTTTTGATATTCAACCCTTGAATTCTTCAACTTTCAGAAAATTTAATTTTTCATTTTTAAATTTTTCACTTCCTCAATTTTTAATTTTTCGAATTTCACTTTCTCTAAATTTCATTTTTGAATATTCCAGCTTTGGAATTTCTTAATTGTCAATATTTCAATCTCGGAATTTTCCAGTTTTTCTACTTTCCAAATTTTCATTTCAGTTTTTCGAGTTTTGAATTTTTAGAAATTTCTCATTTTTTCAATTATTCATTTCCTCGATTCTTAATTTTTCCATTTGTAGTTTTTCGATCTTGCAATTTTTCTTTCCTTTAATTTTCGATTTTTCAATGGCCCGATTTTTAATTTTTCGGCATGGAAATTTTCCAATTTTTCGATTTTTCAATTTCTCGAGATTTAAATTTTTTGATATTTCAACTTGGCTGTTTTTTAACTTTCCAATTTTTCATTTTAGTTTTTCGCGTTGCGATTTTTCATTTGTGAATTTTTCGAAACTTTTACGTTTCATTTCAATTTTTCAATTTTTTGAAATTTCAGTTCATCGATTTTTAATTTTCGATTTGCGGTTAAAAATTCATCATATGAATATTAAAAAAAAAAATGTAATGTCCAGGCGCCTGCAATATTTTTGCAAAATTTGAAAGTTTCCAAATTTTGCAATTTTTTTTTAAATTTTACTTTTTTTAACATACATAGTCTTCACAACAAGAAATTTCAAACGCGTTCAAAATGGGAAATTATTGCATTTTAATATTAATTTTTCGATTTTTCAACTATGGAATTTTCATTTTTCATTTTCGATTTTTCAACTTTGGAATGTTTCGATTTTGGGGGGGATCTTAATTTTCAGTTATCTCAATTTTTCAATTGTAAGTTTCCTGATTTTTAATTTTTTGACATTTAAATTTAATTTTTTTTTAATATTTCTGTATTTTTACTTTCACATTTTTCGATTTTTCAGTTTCTCAATATTTAATTTTTTCATTTTTCAACTTCGAAATTTTTAAATTTTTGTTTTTCAACCAATTCTTCGATTTTTAGAAAATTTAATTTTTAATTTCAACTTTGGAATTTTTCAATTTTTCAACTTTCCAAATTTTCAATTGAATTTTTCGCTTTGCAATTTGCCGATTTTTGAATATTTAGAAAAATCCCATTTTTTCAATTTTTCAATTTCTCGATTCTTATATTTTCCATTTGCAGTTTTTCGACGTTACAATTTTTCTTTCTTTTAAATTTCGATTTTTCGATTTTTGCGTTTCAGTTTTTCGATTTTTAAATTTTTTTATTTTAATGTTTAGATTTTTTAGTTTCTCGAGGTTTAATTTTTTTGATATTTCAACCTTGCTAGTTTTTACTTTCCAATTTTTCATTTTAATTTTTCGCTTTGCAATTTTTGATTTTTTAATTTTTAGAAATTTTTATTTTCATTTCAATTTTTCAATTTTTTGAGTTTTCAGTCTTCGATTTTAATTTTTCGATTTGCGGTTAAAAATTCGTCATGTAAATATATAAATATTTTAAAAAATTTGTTATGTCCAGGCGCCTACAATATTTTTACTAAATTAGAAAAATTCCAAATTTTGCATTTTTTTATATTTTAATTTTTATTAACATGCTTAGTCTTCTTTTCACAACAAGTAACTTCAACCATGTTCAAAATAGTAAATTTTTGTTGGGTCAATGTGGATCTTGCTATTACATTCTGCCCTTCGGTATAAATTGAACTTTTCAAACAATTTTGTTTAAATGATTAAACCTACCAATGATTATTCTCTTCAAACATTTTGTCAGAATCAGAAAAATATTTTATCCTAGAAGTTTAAAAAAATGATAACAATCCTTGAAAAAAAATTTTTGTTCTAATTCTTTCCCGGCGCATCCACCATTTTTATGCAAATTTTTAAAATTGATATAACCAGTTGAAATATGGAATTTCAATCGGAAATTTTTTTCGGGATTACGAAACAGAACAAAAAACAAAATAAGAGGCAAGGTATTTTATTTGATAAAATTGAAATATCGATGTTTGAAAATTATTTCAATTTAATTTTTTTATGAAAATTCGGTTTAATAAAATCCAGTTTTATTTATCCCGCAATGGAGTTCGGATCTTTATCTGTGAACCCTTCCATTGATAAAAACTTCAAGAAAACTGGAATAATTTGGCAACCTTGTATTCGAATTTCGAAAATGAAATAAGGGTATAAATAGTAATCAAAGTACATAAAATATATGTACATCGTATAACAATTTAGAGAATGATTATTCTATTCTATACAGAAGTTCAAAAAAATTGTTATAATCTTTGGAATTGATTAGCCCGGCGCCTCAACCATTTATAAACCAGTTAAAATTGGCGCAAATAACCAAATATATGATCATTCTTAAA